GGTATTCATAATTCCTAAATAAAGATTAACGCGCAGTGTTTAAATACTATTGTTTTCCAAACCCATTTTTTTTCACTTCATATTCAATGAATAAAATTACTCTCAGTTTTTGAAGCTTGTGTTTTTAAAATGTGTAAAATAAAGATATAACATTTTACTTATAAGGAGGGCATACTATGTGAAAAAATGTTTTTTAGTATTTTTTAATTTATATTCGCTCTGAGTTTTTTATTCAGTTTATAAAAAAGATATCTATTCTACATCTGCTTAGGATACTCATTAGTTTGTAACCTACACGTTGTGTAAGATGTTATTTTTTTAAAGATCCATATCGTGGTGAGGTACTTAATCACCAAAATAATATCATTTTGAAATAGATATGTTATGTATTCTTCTCTCATTTCACGTATCATGTTTGATTAATTTTAATTTTTATTCATCACATTTAAAAAGATGGCTATCACTAGATAATAACCGGAAATTTGTGGAATGTAGACATTTCAAGCAATATATTTTCTTGTTAAACTTTACTTTTCATACATTTCAGTAAACTACAGGTGCTAACCTTTAAAACATTTAATCTCAATGCCTTTTTAAAAATGTTTGCTTGTGTTTTTCCAACATGGGGGTGTTACTTGGAAAAATATTCCTCCCACCAAATTGTTTTTTAGCCTTAATATTGTATTCCATTATTCACATAATAATGTCAAAATTGAATATGGAATCAAAATAAATGTCTGAAAAAACTTCCAAAATAAAACGATACTAGGCTTATTATTATGTACGCAAGACGTTTCAAAACATTTGGAAAGCCAAATAAAGTAAGAATTTGAAAAGCTTTGAGGAATCAGAATTTCGAAAGGTTAACCCGTTAGACCAAATGATAGAAAAGGAAAACACAAAATTTCTCAACAAAATCAGGCCAATCAAGACATGAACAACCAAAGCAAACTTGGGGATGTCTTAAACTTGTAGTGAGGTGAGAGGTTATTTTAAAAATCCGGTAAATAGTCTAATTCGGTAAGTCACATTCGTGAAAAGGGAGGGTATTGTAGTAACGACATCAGGAACATATCCGATATCATCTGTGAAACGGTTATTCCATAACGGTCAACCAACTCGTGATGGCGTCCGTAAATTTTACGAAGGGATGACTTCAACTTCACCATTTGGAACTCTTGGTTTAATAGCTCTCTTGTGAGCAGCAATCCTCTATCGAGGAAATCATGATAGGAAACACAAGCCCGGGAATATCGTATCAATTGGGAGAAACATACTCCGTATGCAGGTGCTGCTGGAATGTTGCTACATAGAAATGGAAAGTTCACAATTGGGAAGCTGAAATCATCTTTTTTGTCGTAAAGTTTTGTTTTCAACCGACCCTCATTGTCAATTTCTAGATGTAAGTCAAGATATGAGGCAGACTTAAGTGTAAATTCAAAATTTCAATCAATTCCATCCGAAAACCATTTTGTTATTCAACAATCAAGTACCATAATTCTTGAACAATAAAAGCGATAATGACGAATAGAGAAAACGTGTTATTAGTGGTCCTACACATTCCATTTAGATTTCGATGAATTGTAAAAAGGGGAACTCCTTTTATCATCCGGAAACCACAAAATATTTATCTTTTCCAACATGCATGTACCATGGAATGGTAAAATTGAGAATGACGAATATCAAATTTATAATCAGTAGCCCAATATTTTGAAATTTTCAATAGTCAAAAACCATAACTTTGGAATGGCAAAATTTAAAACGACGATAGTCTAATTATATATATATAATTTAATCTGTGTTTTGTATTCCATTAAAATTGAAAGTTCTTTGAATGTAATCGAGTGTTTTTCAAATTATTGTTCAGAAACCACGAAATTTGAATTTTTCCAACAATCAAGTATCTGGAACAGTAGAAAGGACAATAGCGGTAATCGCACTTAACAGGTGTTTAGTGGTCCAAAAAGGTCCTGTCAAATGTCAATCAATTTGAAAAAAGAAGTTCTCTATTTATTACATGGAGACCAAAACATTTGAATTTTGCCAGCATTAAAGTATCATAACTCTGGAACTGTAACGGTGAAAACGACGATGATAGAACTTAAAATATCTTGATTGGTCCAAAACATGAAATAAAAAATTAGATTACTTTCAAAAAGCAGATCTCTATTTATCGACAGGAAACCGAAATTCTCTTTTATCAAGAACCATAACTCTGAAATGAACAAAGGGTAAACAACAAACTTCAACTTGACCTATTAAAATCAAGTACCAAACGGTTACAGTGAAATTGAAAAAAAATAAACTTTAGATTTGTTTGATGGTCCAAAACATTCCATTGAAAATCCAAGCAATTTATTACCCGAAAACCACAAAAATTATTTTAACCACCAATCAAGTACCATAACTCGGGAACGGTAAAAGTGAAATTGACGAACATAGAAAAAACCTGTCTATTGGTCAAAACATTCCATTTAAATTTCAATTAATTAGCAGTTCTCTGTCTATTAGGTAGAAACAAAAACGTTTTACAATCAAGAATTATAACTCTGAAAATGTAAAAGTGAAAACAACCTGTGTTCAATGGTCCAAACAATTCCATAAATTCAAAAGCGGTTATCTTTTTATCATATTGAACCCAACAGAATGACGGACGTATAGACGAACAAACAGAAAGACGGACATGAGGGTTCCGATATACCCCGACTATAAAGAGAGAGGTATTAAAATTGTAATGATATTTTTGTACAAATCTTAAAAACAATCAATTAAACATATCGTTCTACTTTGGTAAACAATAAAATATAACGTTGATTCTATTTGATCACACAATACATAATTGTTATTCTTTTTTTTTTTGTTTTACATAATACAATATGTGAAGGTGGAATAAAATACAAAATCCTAACGTTTGTTTTTATAAACCAATGCCCAAGAAATTATGATATCCATTATATATTTTCTCAAAGGAAACTACACTATTTTTCTAAGAAAAGGTATTTCGGTCTGTGTATATTACTGCAATGTTTCAATTACGAATTGAATATGACGTGAATGAGACTGCAGCCCTACAACAAAATAACCAAATGTATTTTAAATTTCGTTGCATTGTATAAGGCTCATTGTATAGCTATATGTTGTACAAACATCTACGGAAGGCAATCTTGATAGCAAGCCAAATTAGATTGGAGGTATCTAAATGTTACTCCAATATTAGAAGATCATATAAATAGGAAAACTAATTCTGAATATCCCGGCATGTTTTATTCATTCAAATCTGAGTTTATAATATTTCAGCTGACATTGATATCAATTCCATAAACATAACAACAAGGTGACGATGTAACATACTTTACTTTCTATTTTTACATTTTTCAACACCTTCCTGAGATTATGGTTTTATCATATATGTATTTAGGTTTACTTTATTTCATTAGTGATGGGTTGCTGTTATATCGATATGTACTTATAAATATTTTGATAACATTCAACAAAAAGGAGGTATGTGTTGTCGATCATGTTGTCACCCTTGCTGAAAATCATAAATATCCAATCGTTTGAGATAATAATGCTAATATATACACAAGATAACGATTCTAATGAATCTATTATTCACACAAAAATTTTAATGTAATACTATGTATAACGATTACAAATAGGTTCTCCTTAATTATGGGTTGGTTGATAAACATTGATGGTAAACAAAAAGGTTTATTTGTTAGATATTACTTATTATATTATTTCTGTACAATATAAAACAAAGGAAATTGGGTACCATTGCCAATGAGTCAACTATGAACTAGGGTTCACATGACGTGGTTGTAAGCTAAATAGGTCACTATATGGCTTTTAACAATAAGCAAAACCAATACCGAATATTCAGCTTCAAATGGGTTTGACATGAAAAATGTGAATCCATTCATAAGAAAAAACCAACGGCATTTACTTGTAATAAAACAATTAACGAAAAACAAATATGACAAACATGAACCAACAACAACCACTGAATTACAAACTCCCGACTTTAACTAATGCACATAACGAATATAGTGGGTTTGAATATGTAATATGTTTGTGAGCGCTGAACCATCCAGCTAACTTGGGACAGTGGTGTATCAGCACAATATAAGAACATTAGCAGGGTATCAAACGGACTAAGAGTAAAGACGACATAAAACGTATGTGAAAAAAGACCTTGTGCAACGCCAAAAGATAAGTTATGGTATGGACAAGATGTAGTATCATAACTTTATATCAATACATGTTTTGTTATGTTTTAATTTATCAAAAACGAAAGCAATGTTAGTACCGATAAAAAACAATATTTAAAGATTTTACCAAGGAATTAGATTGATAACCCTTAGATATAAGTTTATTCAAAGAATCAATAAGTCTAAAAAAGTCACTTTAAAGTTTGTGTAAAAACAGAAGGCAATGATCATGGAATTGTTATATGAAAACTACTACTAGCACAAGCTATCATTACCAAGTTATAGAACGGTATAACTTAATGTTATGTGGATAAATAGTCTTTATATACTTCTAGTAACAGATATAAGTATCTTTGAAACGGTACTGATGTATGTGTTTACAATATTGTTACCTACGATACCGGTATAACTGTTTTGTGGGATGATTCTAAATGAATATGCTCCTCAATAAAACTTTTTAGCGTGTCAGTTGATGTTTTAAATGTTCAAAGTCAATGCTGTTGCTGTTGATATTAAAAGTGTAATGATCATATATGTTGTTCCCTGTATTGCACGAACATAATTGTCTTTTAGAGCTAAAAAAATTTTCACTCAGTTACACAAGATTGTATGATTAACTATTCGTCAATTAAATCATCATCTATACCATATTTTAATTTTGTATGCCAGACGTGCGTTTCCTGTACAAAAGATTCATGAGTGACGCTCGCATCAAAAATGTTAAAAAGGCTAAATAAAGCACGAAGTTGAAAAGGACCAAAAATTCCGAAAGTTTTGCCAAATACAGCCATGGTAATCTATTCCTGGGGTAGGAAATTCTTAACATTTTAAAAACAAGTTTTGTAAACAGTTAATTTATAATTATTACCATATCAATGATAATTTATGTCAACACAGAAATGAGAAAAATTCATCTCTCCTATATGTAAAATGTTGGCATAACACTGCCAAGCTAAGGATGTGAACTGTTTGTTAACCTTGATCGTTTTTTGTCGACTATTTCATCATCATTTATCCAAAACTGTACTTATATTATTATTTCATTTTAGATAACTTTTATAAGATGAATAAATCTTCACGTCTATTAAGAAACAACAGTGCGATACAATCCTAAACTTCCTTTTATCCAGATACACGCATCATACGTGTTTCGAACATTAGGATTGTGTCCAATTAAGTAAATGCAAGTTTCTTAATTCATCATATATGCAGTTTCCCCTCCGTTTGCTCCTGAATTTTCATTGGAACTTAATGCACTGCGTCTATTACCTGAAATACATAAAAGCTCTATTTGACCGAGTTTTTGATAGATAAAATTGTAAGTATATGCTTGACCCGATAAGGCTATATGAGGTGGTATTTGCCTATTATTGACGATAGTGCCTTGAGCTCTAGACATTTTGATTTTGCCATTTGATAAGGGACTTTCTGTTTTGAATTTTCCTTGGAGTTCGGTATTTTTGTTATTTTACTTTTAACCCAATATCTCCTTTGATCTGTTGATATAGTCAAGTGTTTGGGTTTTTCAGGTTTTATGGACTTCCCCTTTTTTCTAATTTACCTCAGAGTTCGGTAATTTGGTAAATACTATTTCTCTTTTAGCGCATATGTCTGTTTTCTGCGAATGTTTGTAAGCATTCAAAATTTAAGAAAAAAGATTATATGGTACGCATTTAGTCATGCTTACGGCTAGTATAGAATATCATCTATAATGAAATCAAAAACGCGTGTATGGTTCATTTCCATTCATTACATTTATTTGTAAGAGGGGAACATCATCATTATCAAGAGACTACAGGACTGTTCTGGTTGCTCTTCCTTCTATTTTTTAGTCTTCAAAACATATACCATATAAATCTTGCAAAATTTATAAATGATACGAACCTTGAGCAAAGCAACATTGTTTCCATCGCCAACACAAAACGATGATAACTATAACTAACAACAGCCCCAGAAATGCTAAACCTATAGCTCTAAAAGTAAATGTAATAACATGAGTACTAAACTATTCAAATAGATGTATAACTGCAAGTACACGTCGAAGCAGTAACATAGAATAGCAAAATATGGCTTTAAAGGTAAAACATAATGAAACACGATAAGTGAAAGAAGATTACAAACAAAGGAAAATAACACTTTATAAATTCCAAGCATCTGAAACTCTTTTCTGGATTTATCTTTATTAGTAACGCTCAAAGCCGAATATTTGAAAGCCAAGGATGTATAGGAACCGAAACCGTTGATGAGCTATATGACTAAAAATCACATAACAGAATCAGCCAAACTAACTAAGGTCAATTTTGACTGAGAGAGTTGAAACCATAGTTTTTTAATCATTTTAAATTTAATAACGAACAATTTGTAAAAGATTTGCTAGACATCATGATGATACCCTCGGGAAAGTCCACAAACAGTGGTATCAACCCAATACAATTTGAGCATAAACCATCCACATGAAAAACAAAACCTATACTGACAATTTTATCTATACTGACCTATTTGCAGATCTTGTCTAGCTGATCATTTTTGCTTTTGATTGTTGCTATCTTTATTTTATAGTTATAAAGATAATAGTCATAAAAGTAAGAAATTGGTAAAAATTGTCATTTAAGGGCACCATCTGCTATAAACAATTGAATGATGATTTCAGCAACTTTTTTGTAGATCTTGTCTTGATAATAATTTTTGCTTTTGAAAATTGCTATCTTTCTTTTATAGTTTTCAAGATAATAGGCAAAAACGTAAACAATTGGTAAAATCGTCATTAAAGGCCAATAACTCCCAAAAAAGATCAACTGCCAATTTCGGCTATGTTGACTTATTTGTATATCTTGTCTTATTGATCGTCTTTGCTATACAAACTTTCTGTTTATCTATTAAAGTTTTAATGATAATGGACAAATAGATAAAAATCGTCCTTAGATAAATCCATTAAATTCTCAAACCATACATATATAATGTTTTATTTTATTTTCAACTTTTTTTTTTTAACCCAACGATTCTAGTCATGAGTATCGCGCATGAATATTTCACAGATCAATTGACATGGTGTTTACATAGGTTACAAAAGTAGTTTCGGAAATATGTTCTTTCGAAGCGTAAACCAAAGAAAACAATTTTAGCGGACCAATCACATTCAAGTGATTATAGATGTTGTCACATAAACATGATCAACATTTAAGTCATACATTGTAAATAGGTAGTAATGGTAAATGGAACACTCGTATGGCTTTTATTAAACCGAATGCAAGAAAACGCATAAACCTTTTACGAAAAGGAAACAATTGAATTTGTTGAAATACAATTTTTGAAAATATTTTTCTTGTATTCCAAAGTTACTTCTTAAATTTGCATGTAAGGTTTCAAATAGTTACAGGAAAGTATATATATTAAAAAATTGCCAACTTTAACTCGAAGGTGCAAGCATTGCTTAATGCTTTACTTACGAACACTACCAAAGTTAATTGGGAGACGATACCAGCAGGATCTGCTTACCCTTCCGGAACACCCCAGTTTTTGGTGGGGTTCGTGTTGCTCAGTCTTTAGTTTTTTTGTGTACTATTGTTTGTCTGTTTGTCTGTTGGTCTTCTTGTTTTTTAGTCATGGCGTTGTCATTTTATTTTCGACTAATGAGTTTGAATGTTCCACTGGTATCTTTCGCCTCTCTTCTAGAATAGAGGTGACACGCATAAATAAATGTAGCCCAAATTTGTGCGCATCAAAAAAATGAGAGATAAGTAGTCTAAACAAAAAAGCGTTTAGAACTGTATGAACGTAAGTAAATCATCTCCAAAACCTTTGATGGATATAATTTTTAAGATCTATAAAATAATCACCGTATAGCGGGTTATTTTCGCGGGTGTAAAATTTCGCGATTTGGGGACAACAAAGTATACGAAAAATTTTGGCGGTTTTTATTTTGGTGGACTCTCAAATCCCAACTAAATATTTTGGCGCATACTGAAATTGTTGCAGTTAAAAAGTTGTAAAACTTAACAAACAATTGTCTATTGTTATGGTAAAATGATTTATTCTTACCTTAGAATATAGCAAAGTGCTCTCGACCAATGAAATTGTAGAATTTGATGTCTCTTAATTGTGAAGAATGAATTAAATCATGTTCTTAGTAAAGGATTATCCTATTATTTAGGTCTATTTACAGTTCAAAACAAAGAGTTTCTATAAATGAGTTACAGCTGCCCCGAAGCACATTTATCAGATTGAAAGGATTTATCACACAGTGATTGAAACTGACTAAAAGTTGAATTGTGAAACAAACAAAAAAATCAAAATAAGTTGAAGTTTACTGGTGCACTAAAATTGGTACCTTTAATGTTATTATGAAAATATTACTAACTTCAAATTACTAAAAAAATGAATAATATCAAAGCAATGCAAAAAAAGAAAAAAAAATTAAATAACAAATTACCTTAATCCTTAGTTTTCCCAAATTCTGATTACTGGACCAGCGGTTGCGAAGAATAGTTATTTCCAATATTCCGATAAAATAAAAAAAAAACAGGAATTTAATTTAAGTTTTGAATGTATTAAAAACTTTTAAAGGCATTTTTTTTTAACATTCCCCTGACTGAATGAAATCGTATTTGATTTAAAAAGCGGGACCAAAATATTGGCTGTGAAATAAAATCAGTTGTAACTCAAAAGTATTTATTGATTTAAACTGTAAATAAATAAAAAAAAGGATAATTCCTCACTAAAATTTTACATGATTTACAGTCATACTCACAATCAGGAAACATATACAATTCCTAATTTTTCGTTGTACTGTTGTGTCACCTAAATTTAATGTCTATAACGCATTTTTTTTTTTTTTTTTAATATTTCCCAAATTATAAGAAAGTCCTTACATCACTAAAACTAATCCATAAATGAAATGCCGAAAAAGGAAGTCATGCATCAATTATAAGCATTGTAATGACAATGAAACTAATTCTTGTATACAACCAATCAAGAGATCACTTGAGCCTTGAGCACTTTACAATATTCTAAATTTGTAAGAGAATGATAATCCCTTACTTCATGATAAGTACTCGCTAACGCTCGTACTTAATCATGAAGAAAGGGATTATCATTCTCTTACATATACTAAATGACGTCTTATTTATTGATTATATTCTGATGGTTAATAAATAAAATACCGATGACTTAGATATTTGTTACAGGTATTCAAACGTCCTGTATATTTTAAGGTTGATTAGTTACGAAATTGACCTTTGATGTACTTACTAATTAGGTTACAAAATTATCATAAAGGTTTACAACTCTTGTATAGTTTGACACTAATTAATAAGGGTAATTATCTGATCAGAGTACCTTACACTCTTATTCTAATTGACACTTATAAATAAGGGTATACACACCTGGCAGTCATTTTATATATGTATGTACAATGCCCTTTGGCATTTATGTTGTTAAAACTAACATATACCGCTATTGACTTGCCGACCGGGAAAAATAGATCGTTCACAAAACACTTTAGCTATTAGAAAGTACCGAACGTATGCATAAATTTTCGCGGAATATATTTTCGCGATTTACGTTTATCCGCCAAAAGAAGCGAAAATAAACACCCCGCGAAAATAACCCGCTATACGGTATTTAGTAATATTGCTTTATTCGTCATACAGTCTTTAGTTAATTCCTCATAATTTTCCTGCCGCACCCATGCGTTAGTTCCGTGTATTTACATTGAGTAATACTTACATAGCCATAAACGTACGTTCCATACAACTGGGATTTGATCTTGAAGTTGTAATTTTTTTACCTTCTTTCATTGAATCTACAAATACATCATAAACATAACAATGAATAAATAAGGTCAGCAAGCTTACAACTAACAGATTTTAATGTAAACTGTATTTGACAAATTATTAATGCAATAGTCAAACTATAGAAAATTTAAATAACAAGTATTTCCTTAATATTTCAAAATTAAACATGTTTATTCAAATTTATCGGTCTGGAGCAAATCTCCACGGCGTTTTCTTTATTCAAAATATGGGAAGGAGTTCAATGTAGACAAATGAGAAAATTTGGAATGATTATTAAACAACTCAAGGTCGACAAAAGACAGACAGTATCATGACAAAGAGAATAATGATGAAGCGACTTACAAAATTTCGCTAAAATCATTCACAGAGAACTGAAAATTTGATAAAACCAATCAAATCAAAACCCTGAATGGGACTTAGTGTCTACTTAACTGGTGACATTTTTTATGTTACGTTGGTAGTAATCCGATGAGTCTGCATGTTCGTCTTCACTTGTGACATGTTTTATGTTACGTTTGTAGTAATCCGATAAGTCAGCATTTAAATTGGTAAGAAAGGAAATCGGTACAGTTTCCGCAACAACAGTCTGTTTTAAAAACAAGTAAGTTAGCAGAAAATGACTTGGTTTCAATATAAGCTGAATGTCTGCACTCCATTTTGCATCAGATAGATTTAAGTTTATTCTAAAAGTGTCAAATTACTTGTTATTGTTTCCATTGTTGGCATTAATGGTCGCTTTTTGTGTATGATTGCTGTAACATTTCCAGGTAAACTATGAAGTTTCCTGGAATTATAAAACAAATTCCATAAAACTGGCATTTGCATCCCAAATACAGATTGAAATCACTCAGAATAGTTACCCTTCATCGTTTTAAAGATATAAAAAAAAACTCATCAAAGATACCAGGCTTACAATTTTGAACGCATTTCGTCTTCAGAAGACAAACATATTAAAAGGCCCAAAAAAGTACGACGCTAAAGATCTGTGAGGGCGAAAGGTTTTGCCAACTACAGTTAAGGTAATACATACTTTTAAACTTCATCTGAAAACAAACTTAAACTTTATTTTATAAATAACCATGAACAAGCTTTTTACTGGAACAGATTCAGAAAAAATTAAAAAAAATATTTTTTTGGTTTGAACAAGTGTTTCTTATAGAATCATGTGCAAAACAGTGTAGCCGAGACCATTGATTGGCGCGCTAAAATATCCCATTGACTGGGTCAGATTAGGTGAACGTTCGTCTGTAACGCCCACAACTCACGACGTATTTATTATAGACATTTAAACTGTGGGGTCACCAAAGGGTCTCAACGCCTAAATAAAATAATTCGAAAAACTAATCAGGAATAACCTTTGTGTTTTGATTTATATTGAATACTTAAACGTTCTTTACTTGTGTTTTTGTTATGTTTTGATAATGAAATTTTATGATATCGGACGTTCTTTCAGCAAAAAAGGATTTAACTGGCTTAAAAAGTTACAATGGATGTGTTGATTATTATCTTTTTTTCGGACGTCAAAGCGATTTAACAATTGCGGTTGTCCAATTATGTCATCTTTTAACTTTTATCTGGTCAAAATTTTATTTTAGAACGAATGCATGATCAACTTTAAAAAGTGTGCAAACACAAAACATATAGACCTTCTTTCCTGTCTTTTTCGTACTTGCAAGTTAACTTATTAGACAGTAAAAAGGCTATTTGGATCAAGCCTTGTGAAATTTGCATTTACGTTTTTGAATAGGTACACTGAAATGCAGTCAAGTTTATCGATTGATAATTCATTGATAACATTCTGGCGTATCACAAACAAACAACTTGTAACGTCTCATTTCATTGGCCGAAAAATTTAAATACAACAACAATTGTAGTGTGCACATGAATTGACACAGGTGACCGACAATGGAATGTACTACGTTACTACGAACGTAAAAAACAATGATTTTTGGTCGAAATAATTAAATAAGTATTTTGTGAATTTCAAATAGTGGGGTCGAAATATTATACTAATAATTTGTGTTAAGTAATATTCTTTATGCATGCAGCACTTGTACCGCACTATGAAAAATATAAGGATAAAATAAAATACATGTGCCGCTTTTATACGGATGAATGTATGAACCACTTTAATTTCTTTCATATTGACGCTAGGTTATTATCCTGACAATGTCGTAGTTACTTATAATAAGGATCTCATAATACTGATTCATTTCAAATTTATGATGGGTTGCACATTCCTCTTTTATTGTTTTCATGCTATAAAACGAAAATAAAGTAGCTAAGCGTTTGGTCATTCAAAAATGACGTGTCATAAACGAGCAAATTGTCCCCGAAAGATCGTATCATGTGTGCACGTGAATATAGATGTACTATGCAATGTACTATCATGGTCACCACGAAATTCAAATGAATTCAGTGAAGGCATGTTGGTGTAAAAAGGTTTGAAATGTTTCATCGGCGAAGATTTTATTTTTGCATGTGTGGAACTAAAAAATAAATAAATACTTGTGAGAAATGTCGTAGTTTATAAGGGACTATATAAATGTACTGTTTTCGATTTTAATTGGTTGAAAATTTATCCTTTAATTTCATACCGTAAGAATAGAGCTTTGCATAACATTGTTGAACTATCCGCCAAAGTAACGTGTGGCATGCGTGCGTATTAAAATGAAATACATGTATGATAAACTTATAAACGAAATATTAAGAAATTAAGGATGACTACTGTAAAAGTATGTACAAAAATGGAGTCACCTTTTATCAATACATTTAGTGAATAACCACACTGTTTAAAACTGATTGTTTTCTATGCAACTATTTAAATATTTACAATATATAATTTTCAACCGAGGATAGCAAAACAGTTAATTATAAATCAAGAAAGTATATCGCTAGAGTTTATAAAGTACATTTCCTTCCACTGTGCCATGGTTTGCCATCTCCAGTTTTTCTCTAAACAAAGCATGGCTGGTTACATGTTCTGAATTTACTTAGAATTTCGGGATTTTTTTTTTCAAAATCAAGTAAACTAAATCAGAAAAAAAATCACACTATCCTAAAACTTATGAAAGAATATGAATAATGAACATGACAGTTTATAACACAAACCCATTTACTATAAAAATCGAGCAATATCTTTAGTAAGTAATTTGGTTATTTTTGTAGTTAAGTACGGTTTCATTTCAAGTACAACGTTAATTCATCAAGTCCATTGAATAAAAGATAAGGCAGGGTGAGCAACTTGACAAAAAAAGGCAGGATGACGATTTATGTAAAAAAAATCAGAATAAACTAATAAATATAGTCAGGACCTAACAGACTGAAAAATAGAAAGACAGGACAGAGATAACAACTAAAAAAAATGCAGGACAATATGTTTCATCCAAGTCCCCCACCCCAATCAAAATAAAATGGTAGCTCCCTTAATTCAGAACCAATTGAGAGGAGACAGTTGAATTAAATATTTCGACGTGACTGTTAAGATTAAAGTTTAAAATTTTACATGCACATGTATAAAAGCTAGGATTGCCATGGGATAATCAAGAACACAATCATGTACGTGAATATGACGATGGAAGTTTTTAACGACCTTGACCGGCTACGTGAATACTGATCAGTCCATTCAGCTTTATAGTACGCGTGTTCTATTTTCGCAGGTGTGAGGTCGAAGGTTTGAATTGACCAATGAAAACGATCGTTCCTTAACGAGTTAATCTAATAAAGTTTGTTTGACTGATTATGTTGCACGACCTTTCGCTAAGCTTGGCCGCAGTTCAGTATAAAATTTATAGTTTGATGATCTTTTCTGCTAACTACTATACTTGTGAAAAACCCTTGGCAACAGAAACATATTCAGCTTTTTTTTCAATCGACCCAATTTACATAGTAATGGACGACTTCGTACATTTTATGATCGCAAATAAAATATGTATATAATATACTGTGCACTGTAGTTCGTATATATACTGAGACCCTTTGGCAACCCCACAGTTTAAATGTTTATAATAAATACGTCGGGAGTTGTGGGCGTTACAGACGAACGTTCACCTAATCTGACCCAGTCAATGGGATATTTCAGCGCGCCAATCAATGGTCTCGGCTACACTGTTTTGCACATGATTCTATAAATGTAAATAAAGCTACATGTTTTGTTTTAGTTTTACCTAAACCAATTAACGAATTCAATAGGAATCAAGATTTCCAAATAGTAATTGTATAAAATTACTGAAATAATTGATAAACGTCTTTATCAGAAACATTAAGAAGACAATTCTTACAAGACTTTTTTTTAATTTTATGAGCAAAATATTGTGTCTTGCAAATATCATTTCACAACTCATCCTGGTAAATAACATTTTAATGAATGCTCCTTAGGCCATTATCTATAAAAAAGATATGCACAGCCCGAACTCTATAACAACCGGCGGATCAATAAATACCGGGAAATAAGAATCATCGTATGAACGGTTTCATCGTCGGCTTGGATGAAAAAACAAGAATGGAAACGTATGCATAAACACCGACTTCTAAAGTTTGTTATAAATAAGGTGATTTTATTATTATCCACTGTAAGTGCATGTGTGTGTTTGAGCTAAGATAAGTTTAAAGCGCATACATTGTATCTTTATTCTAAGTAACTTACTATGAAACAGATCTGCAAGGTCCACATCCTGTATCATTCTTTGCTGTCCCAGTATCACATTGGTTGACATACTAAAATGCAAACAGACTTTTTAACAGTGACTCGTTTATATATTTGTCAAAATGATATAAATGTAAACTTTTAAAACAAATCATAATGATTAAGGATAAAAAAAAACATAAATATAATGTCAACTTTTATGATTTAAGACTTTTTCATATTACCTCCAAACTCATCAAGTGATTTATTAACTGGACATCCTGGAGTATGTTGATCACATAAACAAGGGTCTCCATAGTAACATTTGTTGGTGTTACATTTGCATCCATC